CCAGAACATACTCACTGCACATATATTTGTGTACATACATACATACACACATACATCTCTCCCCTAAACACCTTTTAAACTTTCAAGGGTATTTGTATCTCTTCCTTTCTGTTTTTCTAAAAACTTTGTTTTCTTTTATTATTTTAAATAAGTTTTTATTAGTATCTTTTATTGTTTACATAACTATAATAACCCCTAGCATCCTTTCCCCCTTCCCCTTCCAGAAAGCCATTCCACATAACAGTATTTCTCAAAACAAACAGAGAAAAATCAGCATTAACTAGTTGATCAACATATTCCAAAGATCTAAAAATATATGATATATAAAATATTTGTTGACCTCCTATCTCTTTAACCGGGTAGGGATTAGGGGTGTCTTCTCATATCTCTTTTGATCCATGCTTGTTCTTTGTAATTTTGCAATATTCACTATTAATTTTTTTGTTATTTGTTTACATTGTTATAATTATTGTGTATATTGGGGGTTTTTTTGGCTCTGCTTACTTCACTCTTAATCAGTTCATATAGATTTAGGTTTCTTTGTAGTCATCATATTCGTCATTTCTTACACCATAGTAATATGCTTTTACATTCACCCACCACAATTTGTTTAGCCATTCCTCAATCCGGGAATCTACTTTGTTTCTAATTCTTTGCTATCACAAAAAGTGCTGCTATAAATATTTTAGTGTACATGGGAACTTTCTTATCAATTACCTCTTTGGGGTATAAAGCTACTAGTAATGAAATCTTTGGATAAAAGGTAAAGGATATTTTAGTTACTTTATTTGTATAAGTCCAAACTGCTTTCTAAAATGGTTGTACTCCTGCAAAGCACTACTAACAATACAGTATTGTGCTTATCTTCCCACAACCCCTCCAACATTGACTATTCCCATCTTTTGTCAATTTGCAGGGTTTGAAAAGAACCTCAGGGTTGTTTTGATTTTCATTTCTCTAATTATTAGTGGTTTGAAACATTCTTTCATGTGGTTTTTAATACCTTGCAATTCTTCTAAGAGCTATTTGTTCCTATCTTTTGACTAATCTAGTGGGGAGTGGCTTTTGGTTTTATATATATATATATATATTATATATATGTATATATACACACACACAAGCACATATCACTTACAATGTTAATTGCTTCTTTATTTGAATACTAAACCCTTATTAGAGAAGTTTTCTCTTCTTATCCTAGGTTCTTTAATTTTATTTGTGTTGAAACTTTTCAGTTTCACTTAATCAAAATTATTTTATCTTTTATAATTACCTCTATTTATTTGGTTAAGACTACATCTCCTACCCATAGTTGTTAGAGGTATATATGATATGGTTCTGAGGCATCTGGGTGACACAGTGCATAGAACACTGGATCATGAATCAGAGAGACCTGAGTTCAAATTTATCCTCAGGTACTTACTGTGTGATCCTGAACAAGTCACTTAATCTCTGTTTGCCTCAATTTCCTCAACTGTAAAAATGTAGATAATAACATTATCTACATCTCTCGGATCTCGTCAGGATCAAATGAGATAATAATTTTAAAGTGCTTAGCCCTACACCTGCCCATATTGGGTGCTATATAAATGTTTATTCCCTTCCCTTGCTGCTCTTCTAAAATTTTTTAAATAGAAACATCTTCAATATTAGGGTCATGTATCCATTTAGAATGTATCATGGAATATGACATAAGGCACTGTTGTAAGACAAATTTCTGCTAGATTGCTTTCCAGTTTTCCAAGGAAATTTTTTTTAATCTGAGAGTGCTCAAGTATTTTATGTTTTATAGTATTTCAAACACTGGATTATTGAGTTTCACTGTTTCTGATTCTCCCTTGTCTAGTCTGGTACACTCATCTATCTATCTATGCACCTATTTTTTTTTTTGTGAGGCAATTGGGGTTAAGTGACTTGCCCAGAGTCACATAGTTAGTGATATGTGTCTGAGGCTGGATTTGAACTCAGATCCTCCTGATTCCAGTGCCAGTGCTCTATCCACTGGGCACCACCTAGCTGCCCCACCTAACTACCCCAACATTGATGTCTGTTTTTTAAACCAATACCACACGGTTTGGATGACTGCTGCTTTACAATATAGTTTGAGGTCTGGAAATGCTATTCCTTCTTCCTTACCTTTTTTTTCATAATTTGCCTTGATATTCTTGATCACTTATTTTTCCAAATGAATTTTGTTATTTTATCAAGTTCTGTGAAGTATCCTTTAGACAATGTGATTACTTATAGCACGAAAAGTGTAAACTAACTTTCCTAGTATTGTCATTTTTATATTGCCATGGCCCATCCATGAGTACTGAATATAAAACTTCATTTTCCATTTATGCTTTTAGTTTCTCTAATCCAGTGATTCTCAGCTTAGAGTTCATGAACTTAAAAAAAAAGCAGATAAATACCTATTTCAATATGATTTGTTTTCTTTATAATACTATACAATGCATTTAAAAGCAGCATTATTCTTTTTTTTAATTAGTATTTTATTTTCCCCAATTACATGTAAAAACAATTTTCAACATTCATTTTAAAAATTGAATTCCAAATTCTCTCCTTCCCTCCTCACCCCCTCATTGAGAAGGCAAGCAATTTCATACAGTTTATACATATGTAGTTATACAAAACATATTTCCATAGTATTCATGTTGTAAAAGAAAATATACAGCAAAATAAAAAACCCAAGAAAAATAAAGTAAAAAAAGAGTATAATTTGATCTGTATTCAGATTCCATCAGTTCTTTCTCTGGGGATGGATAGCATTTTTCATCATAAATCCTTCAGAGTTGCCTTAGATAATTGAATTGCTGAGAATAGCTAAGTCATTCACAGTTGACCATCTTACAATATTGCTATTCCTGTGTACAGCGTTCTCCTGGTTCTACTCATTTCACTTTGCATCAGTCCATGTAAGTATTTCCATGTTTTTCTGAGAGCATCTTGCTCATCATTTCTTATAGCACAATAGTATTCCATCATAATCATATACCACAGCTTGTTAGCCATTCCCCAATTGATGGGCATCTCCTCCTCAATTTCCATTTCTTTGACACTAGGAAAGAGCAAGCATTATTATTCTGAGGAGTCTATGTGTTTCACCAGACATATGACACACAAAAAACTGAAGAACCCATTTCAATCCAAGTGAAATAAAAGCATAGTCACAACAATTAGTTTCCACACAAACACATCATTATGACCTTTTATAATTGAGTTTAGCAACTGATTTTGCAGATACAGATTATTTAGAGCATATATCCTTCCCCTAATTCAAATACTTGCCTTCAGTTTCTGTGTGTCCCTCACGTGGGCCATTACATATGGATAAGTCACATCTTTCAATGTAGCCAGAAAAGGATTCAATGAGATAACAAGGACATTGAGGTCACATGAATATAAGTCAATATAGGAAGGCATTAGATATAATTTATCCAGAGTACAAATAAACAGCTGATAGTGAGATTTGTTGTACCCCCAAGTTAGAGCTTTGATCAAAGTAGCTTTTCTACAATTTGCATATTATATTATGGAGATAATAGGAAGTTCCAATTTACATCTTGTCCTGACTAGAGAAGATGCATTTTTTTACCCTTAAACTACTCTAGTGCCTTAATTTTTATATCTTTTTTTCTTCCCGAGTATCACTTGCTTTTGCATGAATGTTTCTCCCGATTCCACAACAGATGAAGGGAATATTATTTTCTTGAAAATCTAATTGAACAACTATTTTCCAATTTGACTTGAGAAGTGAAATTTCATTTAAAGTTGGCTGAAATTTTAGTTTTTTTAAGTGAGCATTATAGGGAAATAAGAATAACAGTTGGGAACCTGTCAACATCTTCACCTCCCCAGGCCTGTTTGCTTTTGCTTTTTTTTTTTCTTGTAGTAATTTTTTGTTTCCCACGGAAGAAAGTTATTTGGGAGTGTGAGCCTCCAAATGTTTCTATCAGCAGATTGAAATTCTCCTTACACTACTCGACCAGGGTTTCCATAAAATCATTGTCCCTTCCACCAATCAGAATACGCACTAGAACTTTTGCCTGAGCTATGTGGAGATCCGCTCAGCTCAGGAATCTTATTCATTTGATGTCTGAGTTAAGTAAAACCACAGGCTGCATCCCTGGAGAGCAAATGTATCAGGCCCCAATAGTAGCTCTTCCTCTTGCATGCAAGTAAAATAAATGCTTTTTAAGTCTTAAGGTTTAACTAAATGTCAGCTATTATTTTCTTCTGCTGCTTCCACTAATTCCTCTTCGGCCTCTGCCTTGAGGAAAGGGAACCACTCCTCCCCCAGCTCCAGTAAGATATTTGCCCCAGGCCCAAGTTCCTATTTAAAAAGTAGCAACCAAAGAATGGGAACCCTGTGGATTTTCCTAAAGGAAAACCAATCAAGGAATCCAGACTTGTTGTTCTCGCTTTCCTACCCACCAATCAGAACTAACTGCTGAGACACACTTTCCCTTCCCCCTCTCCTCACCCTTCCCTGATGCTGCTGCTGGATAAGTTACAAAGCTAGTACTGGAGGAATCCATCCTTCACCTAGTTGTTTAATGCAATGGATTCTCCTTCTATTATATGGCAGTTGACCTAAAATTGCCTTTGCTTCCAGATTACATTTTGTCAAGTATCGAGAACCAAACCACGCTTAATATCGGTGAATTTGTGTTGCTCAGTTCGAACTGGAAAGACTTACAGGTAACTACTGAAAGGTAAAATAACTTTAAGCCTTGCTTCTCCGCCTCGCCCATATTTCTTCTTTCTTACCCCCAGGTATTACCCTTTGGAGAGTGACTAGTTTTAGGGCGGAAATATTTTTGAATATTGGCGGCGGAAGCCAGATTTGGGGGTTGGGCTTCTGAAAAGTGACGTATCTTACCCTGTGCCTTGGTTGGCTGCCATGCTTTCCCACACGTGGCTCTTGGACGGAAGGTAAACACAACCACATGGACTTGCTGGAAGCCACACCCCCACGCAAAGACACGTGGTTGCAGGGTGCTGTTAAACAACTACAAGAATCACGGGGTGACTGCTGCTCATGTCTATTGGCTACAGAGTCAGCGAATGAAAACTAGAATGAAAACTATTGGGTGCAATTATAGCTGTTTCTCTCTACTCCCACCCATCCCGCCATTGAGTCATTCATTCTGTGGCTCCAGTGTAGTCTCTGCCCCAGTACAGTTTGACAGCCAGATTCCCACGTGTCCTCAAGTGGGGGTGTGGCTTTTAGGGAGCCCGGGAGGTTTGTGTTTACACTCCGCTACTCCACGTGTGACAGTGTCAGGATGCATTTAATTCTTAAATTTATCAAATGTTAGGGCTGGAAAAGACCTTTTAGCATTTCTGATAGTATTCCCTACTTCATAGTTTCTTCTCAATCTTCCCTCATACCTAGAATTATTCTTGGCCCAAGAGCTAAAGGGCTAAAAATAGTGAGAGGCTGGTTGGTAGTTATCCTATCAGGTGTCTTAAAGGCAATAGTAATTGGATGAATTTATACACCTAGCATGACTATTTGAGGCCACTTTTCCTGAGTTCTCCAGGGATATATTCCATTCCCCACCCCTCCGCTTATATACATTCACTTTTGCTACTACAAGATTTATGAGAATAGGCCAAAGTAGCCTACAAAAGTCTAGAAGACTGTCACTGGACATCTAGCATTAGCTACTACTAGGTATGACTATTTGTCAGCTAATCCTGGATATGGAGAAGAGAAAGCTTTGTTAGGCTCCCAAATCCAAATAATCAGACCACTGGCTTATGGTTGACAAGATAATCTATGTGATTTGGCCTCATGTGTCACCACAGTTACTTTGAAAGGCCCATGAAG